CACATAGATATAAATATGCAAAGGAATAGAGAATTTGCTTATCTTAAATAGTTAATGAGAATTGCAGACTTGAAGAGGGGAGGGAGGGGGAGGGGGGTTAGGTTGAAAAAATACTTGAGGCAGTGAGTATCGGTGTAGGAATTTTGTTCTAAAAAGAAATATTTTAAGGATAAAATAGTAAAAATCTTGGTCAAACTTAAAGAGCTTATAAGCTAAAAATTCATAAGCTGGGGGTGATCAGCCTATGACTTTTGGCTTATTTTTAACTTATAAGCACCTGGCTTATAAGCAATTTTAACTTTACCAAACGCGTAGATAAGCCAAAAAAATGCTTGTAACCTAGTTTGACCAGCTTTTATAAGCTTAGCCAAACACCCTCTAATTTCTATGCATGCGTTAGAATATATTGATTATTTGATGTATTTACACTTACAATAGGATGAGGAGCATCATCTTGTTTACACATGACCCATGGCACACCAGTCTGAAGTTCCACAGCCATCTTTGCTGCCCAACGAACATAAAGGGGGCCATCTTCTCTGAATGCTTTTTCTATATTTTGATATTCGTTCTCAATCTACATGTATTTTAAAATGTTGACACATGTATTTATGTATATATATATAGAGAGAAAAAATATCATGGGATGGCTCATCAGAATGTTATGGATATTTAACCTGTGAGAGTATGATTGGACCTCCTTGTGAGGCATATAACCCTTCCGACTTCATCAAGCTCACTATTTTTGTGGTAAAGTTTTGCATGTATAACTGTCATGTAAAAGAGAATATTATTAAGTTAATGTTCCTACCAATTCAAACAATATATCAAAGTGGTCTAATTTATATATATCTATAATTGAGATTTGAGGGACCTTAAGAGATGATGTAGCATATCTCATAGACAAGGAAATGATTTATTTATTTTGTCAATTTTTAGATTTTTTTCTCACTCAATTTAGTATAGTAGTCTATTATTAAATTCCAGAAATACGGAAACAAAAACCATTACTTTCAAATTTTAACGGTTACATCCTTTTCTTTTTTACCCGAATCATTGCAACCTTCCACTCTTCAAAAATTTCCCTGTAATATTCTGAATAATAAATAAGGAATGAAAAAGAAATTCATTTTAACCTTTCCACCTTTTCTTCTGACGAAGGTTATTTTCTTGTGATGAATGTACAATTCTTCCGACAAAGACTCTCTTAAGGGTATAATTATCTACTTTCCTCATCAATTAATTTTTTTTTGATGAGCCAATTATTTACTTTACAAAAGATAATAAACTAGCGGAGTAGAGGAAGTCAACCATCAGTGAGGAAGTTTCGGCAGAGAAGAAACTAATGGTACGGTTGAAGCTTCATGTATATGTGATATTTAATTTTCAATATCTATTAATTAAATTTCTATTTTTATTTCCAACTGTCATGTACGTATGGTGTTTGATTTTCAAATATCTACTTTTAAATTTCTATTTTTTCCTTTTTATTGTTTTCCTCAACTTTGTGTCAGAGTCGTCGAAGGTACTTAAGAGAGGATCAAGGAACAAAAAATTTTGGTTCTTGCACAAGAAATATGTTAAAACAAAATTTGCAGGAGTTGACACAGTTGGAAAGTTATATAGATTAAAACAACGGTTGGAAATTGGTGATTATTTTCATATATAAGAAAATTGAAAGAAAAAGAAAAAGGCAATGGCTAACAGAGGAAGATAAAAATCTGAAAGTGCTTTTAATTCTAATGTTAAGGGAAGAAGGGAAGTGTTGATTCTTAAGAAGATTCGTGTTTGATCTCATTTTTCCATAACATTTTGTCTTTAGAGGGCAAGAGATTAGACTTCTCTTTTGGGAATTTTTTTTAGTCGAACTTGCAGGGGTATATATATAAATTATAAGGTTATTCTCTCTTCTTCTTTTCTTATGTGGTTCTATAATTCCTGGAGTTTCCGGTCATACAAATGTGATGCTTATGAGTTATGAGTTTCCTAATCTTTGACTCATTAATTTGCAAGTTAATGTAACTTTTGCCCAAGATAGTGTTGAAACCTAGCCAGACTATCAAGAAATACTTTGTCAAAGAGATAATTAGATGAATGAAAAGGAATCAAAAGAGGGTGATATTATTTAGAAGTTAGATAGGTTGAAATCATAGAGGTGTCAGGTGGACTTTCTTGATAAGATGATAAGATGTTTTAATTTCAAAGTTCGGGACAGATAAGGTATAGACTTTGTGAAAGCTAGAACAATTCGCTTTGGCATAGTAGGAGGAAATAAGTCGTAATTTCTTTCTGATAATAAAATGAAGGAAAAGTTAAATTTGGATTAAATTAATACTACTGTATTTTAAGTTTTTTCTTTCACTTTTAAGATGATAATTTAATTTATATATGCTATGTAAAAGATTTCTCATTGCTAATTTATACATGAGGAGAGATCTCAAACAAACAAAAAATTGTTGCGATCTGAAGTGATTGCGATAACGACAGACGGTAAATATGCACTGATAATGGTATCTCCTCCACAAAAATTTGTATATATTCGTGAATTTTACACGTATGTCATAATAACATGTCTATATCCATGGATAGAAAAGAAATGCCTATTCACTTTAATTTACTATATCACATCAAAAGATAAAGATAAAAAAGTATGTACCCGTGTCAAGCAACTAAAAGAGTAAATTATGAATAGCTCATTTATCTTTCTCCTTTCTTCTGTGAAACCCAACATGATATAAAAGAACAAAAAGGTAAACAATAAACATATAACCTACTTCTATTATTTTTAATATTCGAATATTAAAATATTAATATTAAAATATTATTCTATAGAGAGGTTTTTCCGCGCGAAGCGCCAACAGATAAAATTATTATTCTGCATTTTAGAGGTGTAAAGATATATTCGATACAAATCAAAACTTTTATCAGAAGAAAAATGGGTGATATATTACCTTAAACGGTTCGTTGTCAGATCGATAAATAATGCCAGGGACATCATGTAACCAAAACGGGAAGCCCCTGTAAAATTCAACAAGGGATCAAAACATAATTGTAAACACCCTTAGGGGTGAAAAAGAAATTATAGTCAAATTTGACTCAAATTAAATATTATTTATTAGTTTACCCATATGTCCATTCACCCTCAATATAGGGCCCAATACGAAGGCAAGCGTATAGACCTTGTGCTTGAATTTGCTTGATGAATACTACTATGTCACGTCTTCCACTAAAATCATACTGACATCACATTGGAAATAAGAAATCAGTATACGAGAAAAACTCTACTCTGAATTCAAGGGTATTTTGGTATATGACCAAAGTTATTTTTCAAGAAAATTTTGAATAAATATGCTCCCTATTATTTTCAGTTTAGGAATATAAATAAACTTCATTTGAGAAGAAAAAAAAAAGCACTAAAATTGGGAGATAAGATAGTGTATTCAATAAAATACCTGTCCAGGACGAGGCTCATGAAGATTCCAAAAAACATAGGTCTCAATCACATCTATTCCACCTTGTTTTGCTTTTGATATTAGAGATGGCCACATCTATCATAAAGAACAAGCAAAAATAGAGTGATCGATCACATTTTGCACCCTGGTCCAAACTTTATGTTACTCATGATATAGGTTCTTTTTCGAACGTCATACAAATTGAAAGTTCATGCAGGAGCAAGTAATATGAAGTTAAAAGTAAAACTAATTATATAAAAAGAATTCCTCATACAATGAGTAAAATCATTAATTCCCTTCTAAGTTTGATAGAAATAATAGAAATCGATCCTCTCACGAAAGATATGTATAACTTTCATCATATGAAATAAATTATTAGTTACCCCTCTTTCAAAATCGCATCATATAAGTTAAATCCAAAAATGAAGTTTAAAACGAGGGTCATTGCTTAAACGAAGCTATTGAAAATATATTTTGTGATAAAATTACTTATCTTTTATTGTTTTACTCAATAGTCACTCAAGCCGAAAAGTAATAAATATATCCAGATCCGGTTATTTCAAATTTTTATATAAAAGAAAAAAAAATGACGATGTTCCTCTATATTCAATAATTTAATAACCATTTAAGTAATAAACTTTTAAAAAAGGGCTAATTAAAGATCGTTAGCTCGTGGACGGTTGTTGGACAATTCTTTTTCTTTGGATTTTTTTTTTTTTAATAAAAGTGACAAATCCAGCAACCAAACAAACAAAAGAGGAAAAGGAAATAACAATATTGGCGGCGATGGTTATATACATGAAAATCTTGCTAGGAAAAATTATGGTTGTTAGTAGGGAAAGGGACAATTATATCATCCTACGATAGTAGTTTTGGCTTTTTGCATTGACAAAGTTCTTTTATTTTCGTGCTTTTCCTTGCTCCGTTTCCTTCAGACCTTTCTCTATTAATCTTTTAGTCATCTTGATTTCTATATATTCTTAGAAGTACACTTCAAATAATTAGTTTCTAAATGTAAGTTACACTCTGAAAGATCAAATAGTTGATGTTACATTTTAGATTGAAATTACTAGTTCGTTCCATCCTGGTATTCTAAATTAGATCATTTCTATGGTAGTTAATGATGTTATTGGCTAATTTAAGAGACTAGGTAATAATCAAATCTATTTAAACTTACAAATTTTTCTTTAAATCCTTTTTAATTTAATTATTTTCTCTACTTATAAGCTGTTAAATAATTTAACAAGTTCTAGAATACGATGTCCTTTAATGTTTTCCTTGGAGATAACACCAAAGCCTTTGGAATTCAAATGTCACAACCAAAGTTTCAAAAATAGTAATCGGTTGAGTCTCTTTCAAAGAATCCCTATGATATTTACTATTACATTGACAAATGAATTCTTCCAAGAATCTAAAGATCTCTTAGAAGAAATGCTAGCGACTAGCGAGTTCTACCTTATCCCTTTTTCTACGCTTTTACACATATTGTACTTTTTTCCTATTGTTAATCCAATGAACATTATAATTAATGAGTTTAAGTTCTACTCATTTTCGGCCACGCGTGTTATGCGTGTATTTTTTATCAATAAGCGCATAATATTTAATTCACATAAAAAAATATATTTGAGTTATCAAATAAAACTTAACTAACAGCATACAAAATTTTTAAATGTTGAATACTGATCTTGTTGGGCTAACTTGACAATGGAAGAAGTAATAGCAAAATTGCATGCTAAAACAATGAATTTAAAAGTACATATAAAATTTTAAATTTTTGAGTAGTGATTTTTAAATTAATTGATAGAAAAGGTCAAAATGAATATGAACTATTTTGTAGAGCATCATAACATGCCCAATATTTGTTGAACTAAAATGAGCATATTTAATAATATAAATGCATACTAAAGTATTCAAATAAATTAAAACTCACTACTATTTTCAAAACTCGAATCATAATATTCATTATAAGAAATCCATTTTGAGGACATACTCCCACAAGCTAAAGGGACACTTGAAATCGTTTTGCGGCCAAGAACTTAATGAGATAATTATATTAATGACTCTTTTTTGGCACTTTAATATAGATTCACTTAACATGTTGTTCTAATTCCATTATTTTTATGATTCTTGATAGTGTCTGTATTTATTATGAAGTAGTTTTACAATTTTGTATATCAATATTATAGAAGTAATGTTCAATTGAAAGGCAAAATAGCCATTCAGCTATATATGGTCATTTTAGTCTTTCAACTTTAACTTAGGGTCATCATATTTATAATATAGTATGATATGATATAATGTATTATTTGCGTATAAATTTTTTACGCCATCAAGTCAAGTTAAATTACAATAACAGGTAAATCTTCATAGCAAGCTTGATATGTTAACTTACAATTTTTTACACCATCAGGTTAAGTAAAGTTTTTTACACCATCAAGTCAAAGTTAAGTTACAGTGACAGGTAAATCTTCATTGTCTAAATTTCTTTTACACTGTTAGTCCTATAACTAAACTAAATGCATGTAGAACTTTGAAACCTCTATCTTAGATTGGACTTACGATCTTTTGTAATTAAGGGTGTGTTTGGTACGAAGGAAAATATTTCTCGAAAAATATTTTCTAATTTTTTCATATTTTGTTGGCTTAAATGTTTTGGAAAACATTTTCCGTATGAACTCATTTTCCTCCAACCAGACGAAAATATTTTCCTTATCAAGAGAGTGAAAAATATTTTTCAAAACTCCTTCTCAATCTTCCCCACCGTCACCAACCCACCCCACACCCTCTCTCTAAAAAAGGCTTCTTTTTTTTTTTCAAAGTTTNTCCCCCACCTCCCCGAAAAAAACTATTTTTTAATATATTTTTTAGTTTTAGTTTTTTTATTTATCAGTTTAAAGGTTCAAATTTTACAAGTTTCAAAGTTATGAGTTCGGAGGTTTATGTGTTTTGAAGTTTACGAGTTTAGAAATTATGAAGTTTACGGGTTCGAAATTCCGCGGTTTCGAAAGTTTATGAAAAATGTGGGTTCGGAAGATTTTTGGTTTGAAAGTTTATGGCTTCATATTTATTATATCTAAATTATTTATGAATACTCTTGAGAACTCATTTTCCTTAATTTGCGTACCAAACACCAAAAAATAAATAAGATTACTACTTGTTTTTTAAGAAAATATTTTCTTGAAAAACATTTTCCGTTGTACAAACACACCCTAAGAGTCAACAAAATTAGATGAGTACTTTACTTCTTTTATTGAAAAATAATGGTTAGTATCATGAATATGAGCAATAATGTATGAAAATCATATGTGATACATATACCAAAAATTAAAAATTCAACAAAAACTACTAATATGAGAAGTGAAAAACAGACATGAGAGTATTCTCTCTCTCTCAAACACACAGAGAGTGCACCCATATTCCTACAACCATTATATTGCAAACATATAAATATGCCCTAAGCTAAATGTACAGAAACAGAAGTATACGCACATCTTAATATCAGAGCAACAATGTGAAGTTTATGATTTTTGAGTATGCTATTAACTCATAGTTCATTTTAATAATTAGGTTCGAAATTACATATTTATATATGTTTAATGAATTTTCTAACGTAAATACATAGTTTAAACAAAAGCTACACGTAATATTCTACCTCCACTCTTAATATGCATGTGTGGGCATATATACTGATAAATACACAAGTGTACATGAGCTCGTAATATGACGAAAATAAAAAGAGAGATGGACATACATCAGGGGTGCTTCGAGGATAATGAATAGAACCAGAAAACAACATCTTCCTTTGTCCATCTATTATTAACGACCTTCCGTCATAACTCACATTTTCTCCGCCGGCAGCCACCGCTCCTGCCATCACCAACACTGCCGCTGCCAACAAATTCCGCCATAGCCACTGCATTCTCATCGCGCGCTTATTTTTCCACCATGCAAACACACATACGCACAAAGAAGAATATTTATTGTGTAAAAAATTGAAATTACTATATATTCTTGGAAGCAAAGACTGATATTGAACAAAGAAATGGAGAGACAGATTTTATTGACAAGGCAAGATAGGAGGAAGATGTTCTTATTAAGTAAATGATGCAAGATATCTTGTATTCAAGTATGACATAATAAACGGTGAACTAGTCTGTTAGTACTTTATATCTCTTAAAAAGGAAATTATTTATAATTTTTGTGAAAAAATAAACTAAGTGATACTCTTTCCATTTCGATCATGCCATAATATATAGAAATGTATTGTTTTTTAAAAATAACGTAAATTATAAATGAACTAGTAAGTACTCTATATGTTATGATTATAATAAGAAGTTAAATTCTTCTAAAGATATTAATTAAGCGGAGAAAAATTGAAGGGAAGGAGAAGAGGGAGATGACTATGAAAGAAGAAAGAGAAATGGACGGCAAAAGAATATATGATGTAATTTTGCGTGAAATAAAATAAGTTGGACGGGGTTTTTAGTGTGATGAGTTAACAAGGAAAAGATCTTCGTGACTCAACTCCAAACGTCATGGAAACAACATTTATACCCTTTTTTTTAATCTTCCTTCTGTTTTTTTTTTTGAAAAATAGAATTTAATTACTTTTCTCTGTTGAATTATGTAAACCACTTTGTCTAAAAAAAAATTATATTTTCAGATACACTTTTTCCTGGGTCAAGGCATGGAAAATTTTGCAAATAGATGGAGCGAGACATACACAGTTTTTTCTATTTTGTTCCATAATGTGAATCTCTCTCCATCCAAAAAACTGAAGTTACGAAATTTAGCTCAAAGTAATAATATAAAACAAAAAAATAAACAAGAATGTAAAGAGCAAGAGAAAAGAAATTCTTATTTCTTTCATGTATTCAAGTGTGTACAATATCACTTTATCCTTTATTTATAGTATTACATAGAGGTATACAAAAGAATGTCATAAACATGACTTTAAATATTTTAGATCATGGAGGAAGATATTGGGGAGGTTACGGAGGTATGAGAGTTACAACCATAACTCCATAAGTATATTGGAGTAGTGGGAGTTATGGAAATAATGGAGAAGAGTAGTGGGTATTACTCTTTTATGAGTTATGGACATCCACCAATAAATAATTATTTCAAAAAACTCCCCCTTGGATGTCCATGGATAATGTGCCTCGTTAAAACCTTACTAAGAAAAAACCTTGTAGGAAAAAAATCTTAGTGAAGGAAAAAGAGTACACATATCTTGTAATACGCTACTTGCTGCCTCATTAAAAATCTTGCAAGAAAAACCCAGTGGGATAAAACCTTAGCCAAGGAAAAAAGAGTACAGCGTGTATTTGTCTCCCCCTGATAAAAACATCACTTTATTATCCGGAGACGACGAATTCCAAGCTTGACAACATCTATAATGTTGAGGCAGCCAATGCCTTAGTGAATTATCCCGCCAAATTATCGCTTGAACGAATTATTTGAACATCTATTTCATCATTCTGTTGATCAAGATTGTCTCTGCAAAGAAACTTTAGCTAAATGTGCTTTGTCTTCTTCAATATATCGTTCTTTCAATTGAGCTATGAAAGCAACACCGTCTTCAATATTATTGGAATCTTCTCTTCAAAAAAATCACACGTCTTATTCGTGTTGAGTCACTTAATTTATAAGATGTTAGTATCTTGGTATGAAGAACAAACTTCATGTAATGTCCTGCATTTACTGTCACGACCCGGATTTCCCACCTACGGGAGTCGTGATGGCGCCTACTGGTGGAAGCTAGGCAAGCTACGAACTTAGAAATCTTTAGCTCTTCTGTTTTAATCCTTTTTTTACATCTTATATTAACAAGGAAATAAATAGTTAAATAACAGCGGAATATGAGATTAAGCGGAAGTCTTAGAGAAATATAAAACCAGAATGTTTCGAAAGTCAATATATGCCTCTACCCAGAACCTGGTGTCACAACGTCTACGGACTACTAAGAGTACTAAATACAACCGTTTGAAAGAAATATAACACTGTTTGTCTCGAATACTTGAGATAACAGAATACATGATAAGATAGAGGAGACGTCGGGCCTGCGGACACCTACAAGGCTGCCTCGGTGTCTCGGTGGACTGAAGGCTGGCTCCCGAGCTACTGTTGTTGATCAAGTGCCGCTCCGGTATCTACACAGAATGCAGAGTGTAGTATCAGCACAACTGACCCCATGTGCTGGTAAGTGTCTGGCCTAACCCCGGCGAGGTAGTGAAGGGGCTAGGACCAGACTCCAGATAAACCTGTGCAGTTATATAATATACAGCAGAAATATAAACAGGTAACAACAGTTTTAAAGGGGAGGGACATGCTTCGGGGAAACATATCAATTATATCAGAAACTTAATAAAGTAGGGAAGAACACTCAATGTCTACAATCTATACGATAACAATACTGTTGCGGCACGCAACCCGATCTAATATAATATATGTTGCGACGTGCAGCCCAATCCACATATATAACTGTTGCGGAGTGCAACCCGATCCACATATATAACTGTTACGGTGTGCAACCCGATCCAATATAATATCTGTTGCGGCGTGCAACCCAATCCACATATATAACTGTTGTGGCGTGCAACCCGATCCACATATATAACTATTGCGGCGTGCAACCCGTTCCAAATATACAGTGAACAATAATTATAATTAACCATCCCGGTAAGGGATCAACAATATACTACACTATCCCGGCAAGGGAACTCAACAATACAAGTATATACGTCCCGGCAAGGGAGAAACAACCATAACTAAACTATAACTCAACTAGTTTCAACATATAACTACCCCAGCTATAAATAAATTTGTTACAACACCTAACTACCCAGCCATAACCAAACTTGTTACAACACCTAACACGGAGTATCATCAACCTAAATGTCCGTAATATCAATTAAGAACACAATGCAAGGGAACCTCAACTCAACATTAGCCCGGCAAGGGGCAACATAATGATCTCTTCTCTTTTTCACTTTTACTTCACAATTCACTTCACAACTCGAGCCAATGCTCTAGAGTTTCGATTATCACTTATACTTACACAATTTTTTATACAACTAGAGCCAACGCTCCTCAATGTTCATAGGCCAGAACTCTTTCCACAACTTTACACAACAAATAGAAATCGTCACTAAGGCATGAATAATACAACGAGATCATGAAAATCACAAGATAAGACTCACGGTCATGTTTGACACCAACGCATAAATACTCGTCACCATGCCTATACGTCGTACTCGAGAAGAAACAAATAGCGATTAGGACACAACTCCTAATCTCTCAAGCTAGGGTTAGACCAAACACTTACCTCAATGCCTCGAACACAACTCAAGCGTCAATTATAGCTTTACCCCTTGATTCCACCGCCAACTCGCTCGTATCTAGTCACAAATTACTTGATTACATCAATAAACGCTAAATGAATCAACCCCAATGCATGAAAATTAGTTTTCCCAAAGTTTTAGCCAAAAAGTCAAAATCACCCCCGAGCCCACGTGGTTGAAACCCGAGGTTCGAACTAAAACCCGATTACCCATTCCCCCACAAATCCAAATATATAATTTATTTTGAAATCGGACCTCAAATTGAGGTCCAAATCCCCAATTTTAGAAAAACCTAGGTTCTACCCAAAACACACAATTTCCCCCATGAAAATCTTTGATTTGAAGTTGAAATCATGTTAAAAGATGTTAAGGAGTGAAGAAAGTGAGTTAGAAATCACTTACCAACGTTTTGGAGAAGAAATGTTGTTTGAAAAATCGCCTCTTATGTTTTTGGGGTTTTGAAAAGTGAAAAATAACTGAAATTCCCGTTATTTATACCCCTTTCAGACCCCCTAGGCGGACTGCATCAAATGGACCCCGGCCGCACAGGCCTGCCTGAAGACCTGCAATTCAGCACCTTGTGCGGACTGCATAAAGGCGACTGGGGCCGCACAGCCTCCACCGCGCTCCGCACAAAGGCGACCGCGGTCGTGCTGGCCCCTCCGCGGTCTCACACGATTTCTCGCGGACCGCACTAGAGGGTTCAGAGACCTGCAACTTCCTGACCCTGCAACATCTGACTTTCTAAGCCTAAGGCATCTCGGACCCTACTCGAAACTCACCTGAGCCCTCGGAACTCCAAACCAAGCACACGTACTAACTCAACAACATCATACAAACTTATCCGTGCGATCAAATCGCCAAAATAACCTCAATAACAATGAATCAAACCTCAAAATCAAGAACGTATTCTCAAACTTCATCAAGTATCAAATTTAGCAATTTAGGTCCGAATCACGTCAAACGACGTCCGTTTTTAACCAAACTTTACAGAGATGACTTAAACCATATATAAGACCTGTACTGGGCGCTGAAACCAAAATACTGGTCCGATACTATAATGTTCTAATCAAATTTCATTTCAAATTTCTTTAAACAATTTCAGAAAATAATTTCTTTAAAAATTCATTTCTCGGGCTTGAGACCTCGGAATTCGATTCCGGGCATACGCCCAAGTCCCATATTTTTCCTACGGACCCTACGGGACCATCACATCACGGGTCCGGGTCCGTTTATCCAAAATGTTGACCGAAGTCAAATTAACTCATTTATAATCAAAACTTATTGTTTTTCATAGATTATCATATTTAAGCTTTCCAGCTACGCGCCCGGACTGTGCACGCAAATTGAGATGACTCTAAATGAGGTTTTCAAGGCCTCAGAACACGGAGTTTCATTTTATAAGGTCATCACATTCTCAACCTCTAAAACAACTGTTCATCCTCGAACAGACAGAAGAAGGAAGTACCTGAGTCGGGGAAAAGATGGGGATAACGGCTCCGCATATCGGACTCGGACTCCCAAGTCGATGCCTCAGGAGGCTGACCTCTCCACTGAACACAAATAGAAGGAAAACTCTTCGACCTCAACTGACGAACCTGCCGGTCTAGAATAGCTATCGGCTCCTCCTCATAAGACAAGTCCTTGTCCAACTGGACAGTGTTGAAATGTAACATGTGGGATGGATCGTCGTGATATTTCCAAAGCATGGACACATGAAACACTAGATGCACAGCTGATAAGCTTGGCGGTAATGCAAGTCTATAAG